TGAGATCAAAGGTCTGAGCTGCCCGTCTCCAACTATGTTCAAAAGCAGATGCCCAAGTAAGCACATAAGCAGAGAACAGAGCAGTGCTCCCAACTGCCCTTCCATCTGCCAGCAGTTTGTGAATCAGAACCTTGCTGAGCCAAAGGTCAGCCTCGTGTTTAGATGCACTTGTTGGCATGTGGGTGTGTGTTTGGTGATTGAGTTTCTTTGGTAAGATCCTTTAAATATGCGTCTTTGCAGACCATTCAAGCAAGAATCTCAAAGCACCTTCACAGACATCGTAACTCCCAGAACCACAGTTCCAACTTCCACGTTAATGACAGTGTGATGCATTGCTCTTGAAGCATGATGAGGACAGCAAGTTTTGGAAAACCAGGAATCTTACCTGCTTTGGACATTTAATGGATTTGCAAAAATCCTAACAAGTTTTGCCTCTCCAAACTCATTCCTACTACCCTTATATGCCCTCCAGATCCGAATAATTCAATCACATTTATTCTGAAGTCACAAGAGGTGATACTAAGTCAGGGACAGACTGGAAGCTTTACCAAGTCACCATTTACTGATAGCACTCAACTGCTGCTTGCCAGTGCTGTGAAACTGCTGAGACTTGCACTGCTTCACATGACACTGCAATGACTGAGCACCACAGAAGCAGCTACAAGCGTCGAAGTTCACTAAGGAGGAGACAGGAAAAGAACACTGAAGGTGCAGCAGGACCAGGTGCACCCAGCGGTTGCTTGCTTCATGGTTTTGCTTTCTAGATGTGGGGAATTACAATGGAACTCTAAACACCGAAGACTTTTTCTTGTTGGAACATAACCAAAATACATTGGGAACACTATCTAGAAAACATCTCCAGGTCAGCTGCCAGCATACGCAGCTGAGCCTGTCTTATGAAGGGCTAGCAAGCAAAACTTGTAACACTAGTAGGAAGAAAGATTTAGTGCAGAGTAAATGAAAGCAGCCAAAACCAAAGTAAAAGCAATGAGAAGACAGTTAATTACCTTGCTGATGACAAAGCAACAGAAACTGCGAAGGTGTGTTGCTAGCTGCAGGAGCAGCTAGCAGCATACTCATAGCACAGACTTTTGAGGAATTTGGGATATAGGAGAATGTTGTCATGGCAATAAATCTCAATTCTTCACCTTCTCTGTGAGAGTACAGGAGCATATTGCTACCGTTGGCACTTGTATTCAACAAAACAAACAACTACCTGCTCACTCTCACCATCACAGACGTCAGAAGCTGCAGCAGAATGACAACCGGTATGGGGAGGGAAAAGGAGGCAAAGCAGCTGTGGCTGGGAGACCCACAAAAACCCAACCAGATCATCTCTCCAACCACCTGCAACTAGAGGATTAGAGGTAAAAGAAACAGACACAGATTACCAAAGATCCCAAACCACTGCTGTTAACCACATAATGTGTGGAATAAAAGCAGCAACGATAAAACACTGGTAAGCACATCAGCTGCAAAAACTGGGCAGCACCATAGCAATAGCTTCTGCTCGCTGTTTTCTCTCCAAAACCACTCATATTTCTCAGGAATCCAGAAGTAGAAAAGCCTGGAATATCTGCACTACCCCCTCCTGCTATCAAGCTTAGCCTATTAGAGAAGAGGAATTTGGCAAGGATGGAGTTTGTTTAATCTCATCTAGGCTCCCTTTCCCACAGAAGGTTGGACCAGATGATCTTTTGAGGTCCCTTCCAGACTGGGCTCTTCTATGATTGCATCACATTATTTGGAATGGGACAGAGATGCATGGGAGATTACTTATATTCCATGATAACTCAACCAAAATTTTCTGTACTTAATTCTATTCTAAATTTTATTTAACAGAGATATTTCCACGCTCAGAGTAAAGCTGTAACTAATTACACTTCAACATCAGCACTCGCTTTAACTCCTGCTGACTCTAGCAAAGATTTTGTTGATGGTCAAAGTAAAATGACAAAAAAAAAAATTATTAGTAATTTTAGTGAATTTTTATTAGCAAATTAACTCAGTAATACATGCTGTGGATTTTCAGACAGCAGACTTTATTATAAGTACTAGCTCCTTTAACATCTACATCAGTGGTATGATATAAAGTTTACATCTAGAGGAATTCCTTTGCTTGTATAGCAGAATCTGGAATCATTAGGTGATTTTTAATTCCTGTTACTCTAGAAACCACTCCAAGAAATATACTGGGATTACAGAACGCTTGAAGCCTACAACACGCAAGTCAGAAAGGGCACGTGCTACAGCTGGCTTCAAGTAGCAGCTTACAAGCAAGCCATAACAGTGAATCACACGACTCCACGTATACTTCATTACAGCCTCCATAATGACGATTCCAGCTACCGCGCACAGAAAAACCAACTGAGCCAGTGAGGATCGGACTAAGAAACCCCCACTCATCTCTTCTCAGTGCCTGCTGGCTAGATGCCAAATGGTACTGATTACTGTAGCCAATTAGAATTCTGCTGCAGCTCCTTTTTCTTATCAGTGATCTCACCACCTGAACATCAAGTCAAACAGCTTTATGTTTAAAGTCTCTGAGCTCAAGTATTCTGTCATTTGTGACTACAGTGAGAGTGCCAGGACACTGCAGACTAGTAGATCTGCACATTACAGGGATTTGCCTTATTCCCAATGTGGAACCTATTGCAAGAAACATGATTCACGGCTGGCTGACACCAAAGGGCTCTTCCGCTTAATCAAAAGGGGTTTTTTGCATCTAGTATAGATTTACTCTTCTTTTTGCGATGCTAAAAGTATCAGCAGACAAATGGTTACCTGCTCTCTTCACAGTCTGAGAGGAAATTTATGCAGTGCTCAAAGCATAGGTCTTGTCAGTGATTAACATCATTCAAGAGGTCTTCTCGATACAAAGATAGGCAGGTTTGGTCCTGCCTCTCATAGAAGCATTGGAACCAAGGACTTCATTCAGTTTTTAGACCATCAGAAAGGGGAGCAGTAGGAAAGGATAGTTTCTTTTTGATTACCTAGCAATCTCCGAGATGCTCATTTTACATTTCGATTGGATGAATCAAGCAGAAACAGTACCCTCTCAGCAGGCCTGAACTGACAAAAGAGCATGCTAGTCCCATGGAGGACTGCTGAATATGAATACATGCAAGAGCTCTTCCCAATGCAACACCCCAGGCTGCACGACTGTCACTGTTACTTGCATTGTTGGAAGCTACTAGATTGGGCCCATCAACTACGGTGAAAAAAAATCACGGATTAGGAAGTTATCCTATCAAGTGTTTAAGAAAATAACTGCCACTCATTTATATTCTGAAGTGTTCCTTGGATTAAAATACATATAAGCCCATCTCCTATTGTGTATGTGATGAAATTGATCTGACAGCTTACAGCATTCAAGTTCCTTTGACTTCAAAGGGCAAAATAATGACCCTATTAAAATGTCTTCAGTGGGATGGTTTAACTGGCTAAGCTTCATCTAGTAACAGAGGTGATCTAACTAGAGCTTTATAGAATGCTACCATTATTTCCATGACAACCGGTGTTTCTTTACTGAGATCAGATCTGCAGCTTAAATTACTAGCTGCAGCTCTGAAAAGGTCACTGGGCAATGCCAACATACTGTGGCTACGGATCAGAGCCCCAGCTGATAAGATACTGAGATCTCAAGCCCACTGAGGCTGTGCTAATAACTTCCAAACTGCTGAAGAGCAGTATATCGTAATCATTGCAATGGTTTCTTTTAGAAAGACCAGTAGGAGCGAAGATGGTAAGATTATAAACTGGTTTCCTCAAAGGACACTACGGAATTCACATTTTTGATGGCGAATCATGCCACTGCATTTAACTTTCAGATAGTGCAAAAGACCCAGGGAGTGCAAAACAAAAGGACATTCCCAGAAGGGAATGAGAACAGCAGCAATTACAAATAGCAGCTCTCAGACTTGACAGGAAAAGACGGAGACAAGCGCAGAGAGGTAAGCGTTGAGTATATTCTTTCAGCTTTGAAGGATGACCGTCAGGGCTTCATGAAGTAACTTCCTATGACACTGGTGAGTTGTCACAGCAATACAGGTAGCAATAACTTCTGTCTGACTGCGTCCATCAACTATACAAGCATACCATCAGACTAATAAAGTACAAACAAGCAGGAAGATTTTCCTGCTGCAGTGGGAAGAGTGAGGAGAAGAGAGTTTGTCTCATGCAGGGTTAACCACAGGATGAATAACTGGGACTGCAGTGACATCGACCTTACTCAGGAAGCATGCCATAGTCTCCATTTCAAGCATACAGCAAAGAGCTATGTTTGCATTCACTGACATGAACCTCTCAGCATATTCAGCACCCCAGTTATGTATAGCAATTCCTTCCTCAGGTGTTAAAAAAGTAATCAGCAGTTAACCACTTCCTGTGGCTACCTTCTCTCCTCATCCTCAGGCTTTCCCACTATTGCACCTCAAAGTGCTTTAGCAAACCACTGTGCATTTTAGAATTGATTCCTCCTTCCTATACAACACTAGCTAGTCTGGGAAAACTGAAACTGGGAGAGGCTAAATGACTTAAGTCTTTTAGTCCTGAACGCTTTAATTGCAAGGCCACTGTTCTTCCCATTAAAGTTATTTATCCCAGTGTTATCACCAGGCAGATTCTGCACCAGCTCTCAGTAGCTTGTTTTAAAAATCCTGCACTTCCAGACTAGTAACTCTATGGAATCAGCAGACTGTATCTTAGTAACAGCATCAGACAACACTGGAAGTTGGCAGCGCAGTCTGCAGAGCAGACTTACACTATTACACCAGCACTGCAAAGGTCCTTCCAAACACACACGTTACTTGAAAAATCCATGAGAAGTGCAGTTAGTAGATATTAGGGACAGCAGGAGATAACTTGGGCCAAACTAATTAGTCAAACAGAAGTAAAAAGGAAATCTCACCCTTAATTTTTCACATCACATAGTACAAGGCACAGAGAGACAAATTAATTTCGTGGTTCAGGAGCAAAGCCCTGCCCACACCATTACTCACTTTGTATTGGGAGACTTCCACTCATCTCCCACTGGCTGATCAAGCAGGGACATCATGGAATAATTATCCAACATGAGACTATCAGGGTCATCTGTCTGACCTGGGAGTTTCCCAAGAGGAAAGTCTCTCCATCGTACTTCATCTGGGTAAAAACAGTATATAAACAAGAAGTCTGAGCTACCCAGAGTGATTTTCAAAAAACAAGATCCCCCCACGTCCACAAATACTGTCTCGTGCAATTCAGCCATTCAGCAAAAAATGAACAATCTCAGGTACTCAGCAAAAATAAGTTTGAACTATAGTTTTAACTAGTTTTGTTTCTAACCTTACTATTTCTTCCAAAGAAAGTCACTGTAGTACGAGAGACAACAGGGACGCATCTGGTGCCATGTAACATCACACAGTCTACACAGTGCAGCTCGTCCAAACCACCGTGAGACAACGTCCATTAAAAGAAACCCCACAGTATTCTGGAGCAACCCTTCATATTTACCTTTCTCTTTTAAGCATACTTCCGTTTGAAACATACACTGACTTATATACGTTAATTTTAAAAAATTACTCCGCATACTTCTGTAAATAGAAAGTGCCATTTGTACACATATGAAGATTCAAAACAGCACCTTAGCATCCAGTAGCTCATTCCTCCAGTGAGACTAAGCATCAGCTGCTTAACGACTCGCTGAGATTAGCAGCTGCACAGCAACAGTGCAACAGTGACTGAAGAAGTAAAGCCACAAAAGTAGAAGAGTGTAAGGCTAGGGAAGCCTATTTAACCCATAAGGCAATTCTGGTTGGACAGATGGGCTGGGATGAGATGGCAAAGAAAAAGAATACGACAATGTCTTGGAAATTCTGCTTTTTTTTTTTTTTTACAAGCACCTATTGGTGTTTTGTCTCTCCATGACTTTACATTTGTTAAATTTGGTTCCCAATGAGAGCCAGAAACTGCATGATGGGAAACCATGCATTACAACTGATAATATCAGCGAGTCCATTCCTTTATATTGTGGTGCCAAAATTTCAAAGGCAGTTCCCAATAGGGAAATCCCCCTTTAAATGTCATTCTTATTTCACATCTAACTAAACGAAAGATACAAATTATTATCTGTTATTGTTTTGACAATAAGATTTCTTAAGCCAGTGTGCTTCCCTGATACCAGAACACTTATTTTTGGAATGCTTACTAGCAGCTCAGCAAAGACGAGCAGACAGAAGTCTTCAGAAGATAATGCACTCCACTCCAGAGAGCCAGCAATAATTACACAGACTAGCTGAGATTTCTGCTAATCATGTGCCATTTCCTTCTCTTTGCCCGAAACTGATTTGTTTTGTGTACCCGATATCTGCTCAAAAACCCAAGCATTGCTCTAAAGAACCAGCAGATTTATTTGTTTTGCCTTTTATACATCCTTGGGCATTTAACAGAACAAAAAAATGTGAGTGGGGTAAAAGAGTTCATTGTCTTCTAATGGCTGCTTTTCTTCTTCTTCCTTTAAATATCATTTTGCCTCCAATTCTTCTCCATCTACCTTCTCCTCCTATATTCAAGTCCCTCCATAATCTCTCATCCAAAAAAAAAAAAAATAATCTTCTTCGCTACAGAACCCTCCACACCAACAAGAAAGTACAGCTACCATAACAAAGCTAATAAAACACTGGATATATGGTTTATTCCCTCTAAAAACTTGCCTTGCTCCTTTCTTTTGCTTGCCACCATGTCATAACAATTTTCCTGGAGCATGGAACTTATGAGTATATGACTGGTGCTTTTTTGCACACCCAACCTGTGCTTTCAAATACCCCCAAGTCTGACAAACAGAAGTCCAAGAAACATCCGTATTTTCTTTGCAATTCACAGCTGGCATATATGCTGCTCCACCAATTGGATACACTGAAATTTTAAACAGTTTGGAAAAGCCTTATAAAAATTTTAATGAGGCAGTAACAACACGCTCCTGGAAAAAGCACTCACGCTATTTTAAGACTTTGAGAGATGGCACCTGCACATATATACAGAAGACTGGATTTGGCATTTAGATGCTTTTGAAGCACACTTCAATTCTGGCCAGGCCCAGAGAGCTCAGATGCCTTTGCACTTCAATTAACATTTGCCAGCGAGGAAGATTGTCTAAGTTTTACAGAGTCATTTTTTACCTGCAGTGATCTGCCAGGCGGACCCTTGCAGTGCTGCCCTTTTCTCAGCAATAGCCATCATGTTACCAGAATGAGCAAGTCCTTCCAAGGGATTTGTTTCAGTTACCATCTCTTCTTCCTCCTCCTCCACCTCCTCTACACCATCATCTCTCTCCAGCACATCTTCTTGTTTCTCTACAGTCTGCCCTTGTTTTTTAACCTGATTTTCTTGCCTGGCCCTCCACTGTAGGCTCTCTATAGTGTAAATTGGCTGTTCGCTGCAGTCTGAAGAGAGGCCTGGACTGGACAAAGGGCCACCTCCTTCCGTGTAAACAGAAGCAAGATAGAGAAGGTTCTTCCGCGAAGAACGCGGCAAGCGAGGTCTCATGATTGTGAGGATCCTAGAAAGGAAAAGGGAAATGTAAAAGTCTTAAAAGCAAAAAAGATTCCAAATAAAAGTTAATCAAGCTAAGCAGCCTTTTAAGTGTGAGTTTCCTCCAGGACAGCTCACTTATGTATCTCCTCTAACAGGCAAACCTGATTATTCCCTGGTGGGTGGACGCTGGAATTCTCCCTCTCAGTGATTAAAACTAAGGATTTGGGATACTTCTAACTGAATTCCTGTTTTCATGTGAAAAAGTTACCACCTGTGCTAAATTTGTAACACCTGTATAGCCAGTCACATCTCTGCTACCAAGTCACTTTCCTTCTGACCAGCTTGCTTCTTGAATACCTCCCCAGATAATATCCACTTTCATTTTGAAGGTGCAATCCTTTTAAATTCTCTTCCTTATTCTCTTTATAGAATCAGTGGGGAGATAAGCAGCAACCAGCAGGGCTTTATATGCACCTGCCACAATTTCTACCAGATGTAAAGGAAGGGAACGCAGCTATAACTCAGGATATCACAAGGGAGCTGGCCAAAACTGCTACAGAGCACTGTTTTCTGTCCCTTATCTAGGTCACAGGATCAAACTTACAGCTGGAGAAGGTGTGGGGTTGCCCAGCAGGGAGCTTCCAAGCAATTATCAGTCAGTCTTATCCACTGCAAAGGAACTTTATGGAGGAACAGGTCCTTCACAGACACCTGTTTGTTACAGTGTTGTCTTTTCTTCCCTTCAAAGAAGATAACGAAAACAACAAGTTGCTCAAAACTCATTAAAAATACACCCTTTGGCCCTTTGCATTTTTACTGGAACAGTCATCCTCAAATAAGCTCACATTCCCATCCAAGTCCAAGACCAGCTGAACTGACCAAATATGTCAAGGTTGTTAGAAGCGACTTGCCAATGCATGGGCAGCGAGGTTAGCTCCACAAGACATGACCACAATGAGATGCAGACATTCCCAAGCTGGTTCTGTACATGCCATCCCAGACAGGAAAGCCACAAGATGTGTTTGTACAAGTATTGTCCCAAATCAATGCAGTATACTGCTTCTAGGACCTGAGATCATTCCAGATAGCACTGCAATGAGTAGACTTAACAGTTGGGAACTACCACTATTCAGGGATCTTGGTACATAATAGATATGCCCAGCACTGACCGAAAGCATCAAACGTGAACCCGTGACTGCCACAGATACTGGCAAAATCTTGGTGCCAGACCAGGAGAGGGCAGAAGAGGCGGTAAAAATAACCAGCTGGAAACCTCCTCAGGGATACACGGTATTGCAGTATAAAAGTCCTGTTAACAGAGTTCCTGTGACACACTGAGTAATTAACGCTCTTCTGTGCCCCTGTGGAACATGCAGTTTGCCAATTTAAAGAGTTCTAAGGAGTTAGGAGCAGAAAACAAAACTTACTTTTGTGCAATTTTAGAAGGCATGAAAATCCTGTGATAGCATTAAAAAAGGACAGAAAGGCTATCCAAGCATCTTGTAAAGGCAGGCTTCTCTTAAGTGAGGAAAAAACATGGAAGAGGGAACTCCTAACAGGCTGCATGTAACATCTTTATTTGTTATCTGCTGTTGTTATTTCCTACAAGCACTAATATCTGAAAAAAAAAAAAAGCACTCAAGGGCCTGATCTTTCATGGGAGATTGGCTTTTCCCAGCTTGAAGAGGCTGCAGCAGTCGCCAATAACAATTTCAGGTTTTTTTGCTAAGAAATGCATGACATAATAAGCTGCAGGTTGAAAAGTGTAAGAAATGCAACAATAAAAGCTCTGTGTTCGCATGACAAAATATAATAATTAGGTTATTGCACTTTCCATCTAAAGGTCACACCACTCTCCCAGTTTTTCAGACATACTCACCAGCGTTTACTTTGGCAATGCCAGTCAGCATCTCAGAAATCCAGTTGATCAAGAACTGAGGACGGAGTTCTGAAGAGTCAGAACATTCCTTCAACTCCATAAACATTTTCTCTATTAGGATCTGTGTAAAACTTCGGGAAAGGAGGCCTGTCAGCAAAGGCTGCCAAAAGCAGTAAAACGTCTGAGGAATTTTGAACTGCCATACCTCTTTATTTGCTGCAATAAGACATAAAAAATAAGAGAAACCAAAAATCACTGGTTTGTAATTTTTTTGTGAACCATGGGTGTAACACTTGTTCCAGACTAGTTTGTTCTGAGAGCACTGGTTCCAGGGCATTTCCTGGGACCCTCACTGAACCTGGAACTACTGTTTTCTTATGCTAGAGGAGTAAAATAAGCAGCAAACTGATAATTAACAAAACAGCTCAATGAAATGGCTCTCGAAGGTAGGGGAGTCCAGGAGAGCTGGCTGCTGTTTAAGCAGCTCTTCCTCCATGCTCAGGACCGGTGCATCCCTGTGAGTAGGAAATCGAGTAAACAAGGTAAGAGGCCTGCATGGATGAACAAGTAGCTCCTAGTGAAACTCAAAGAAAAGAGTAAGCTCCATGGAATGTGGAAAGAGCGTCAGGCCACTTGGGAGGCATACAGGAATGCTGCCAGAGCATGTAGGGAAGCAACTAGAAACGCCAAGGTTCACCTGGAACTAAGTCTGCCAAAGGACATCAAGGATAACAAGAAGGGCTTCTTCAAGTATGTCAGCAGTAAACGTAAGACCAGGGGTAATGTGGGACCCCTGCTGAATGAAACGGGTGCCCTGGTGACAGAAGATACAGAGAAGGCAGAGCTACTGAATGCCTTCTTTGCTTCAGTCTTCACTGTCGAGGCTGGCCCTCAGGCTCCCCAGTCCTGGC